TGTGCCACATGGCTTCTGGCCACCTGACGGACACCTGAGGGGCTGATGCTCCTCCTTGATGGGTGAACTGGACAAGAGACACTCAGCAGGAAGGAATTGCTGCACACAGAGTCTGCCAGGCCCTGGGAGAGGAGCAGAGATACGAGGCAAGGCACAGCAGCCCTTCTGCGGGCAGAAGGTGCCTTCATGCTGTAGTATCATCTGATGGAGCTGCTCCGCCAGAACAGCTTCAAAAGAGTGCAGAGGATACGCACCACTGGTTTCTTAATGGAGGTGATGGAGGCATGCTTCAATGCAAAAAATATTTAAACAGATTGTAATGAGGATCTGGCTTCATTAAGGAGCCTTGTAGGGCTGATGAGTGAATTGTTCCTGTTGCACTCAGGTCCCCAGTTGGAATGAACGCATGAGCACGCAGCACTTGAGGACACCAGAGCAGTTGTCTCAGTGTGAATCTTGCCAGTGGTACAATATTGCTTGCTGTTGCATGAACAGAACATGTCTCCTCTGATTGTTTTTCCCTGCTCTTCTGAGATAGATGCTGTTTGAGGAGCCCCGCTGGTGGAAGGTCTTCTCAGAGGAGCAGACGCAGCTTTTTACATGAAACCTCTGACCTCAGGAGTGGAGGGGATAGAAAACCAACAGCAAATTGCCTTGCCAATGAAGCTCGATCCTTTCTGAAAGGAGTCTGTGAGACTTGGCAAAAGTCTGGCCTCAGCAATCACCATTCCATGGTGTTTCAGCTGTAATTGTCCTTTTTTAATTCGGGGAGCTACTGAGCTGTAGCAGTATTCCCTAGGCAGCTTAAGCTCCCACTCCTGTAAGATACCAGGGAAGAAGATTCCTCTCAATGCAAATCATGATGGTTTTTGCTCTGTTAAGGCACTACCTGGCCCAGCACCTGTGCTCAGACCAGCTCTGCCCATGGGGTCACTGCTCATCTGCCCACGGATCAGGAATTCTTCAGAGCCAGGAACAAAATCGGTGAGGCTTTATAAACATTATGTATTGAATTATCACAAGCTAAGTGACAGAAAATGAACAAGAGTTAATCGCATGACAGAGAGGGAGAACATCTCTGCACAGCAATCATTTCAAAGGCAAACAGAAATATTTATAGGCTGAGGGTTGCACAAGTTGCCACCACGCACTGGCAGGAGATGTGCTGTGGGTTTGCTTTAGGATGGGGCTGCAGCAGGCGTGTGGGCATGGCTGTGCTGAACGGCAAGGCTCGTCCCAAGCTGGGTTCAAAGGGATGCGCTGTGTACAATTCTGAAAATAAGTGCAGAATGGAAAACATGCTGGTGGTCTTCTATTGCCCAGCAGCTGCAGACTGGCCCCTGCTTCTCTGTGCGCCTGGCAGGGACTGCTCGATCCAGTGGGAGCAGAACACACTCACAGGTACCTGCAGAGGATAAAAGGGAAGAGATGATTTGTTCACATCCCGAAGCAATCCCTGCAGGCAGATTCAGAGACAGGTTTCCAATTGCCTCCATTCAGAGACACCAAGCAGGCTTTAAAGAATCCTGTATATTTTTAGCAGCAACATAATATCAGTGGAAATCTAATAAACTTTGCCATCAAATATTTATCCCATTACACCGGCTTAAGTAATTCAAGTTACTGAAATCAACACAGTGGTTTTATTTTTAATGAGCCTGCTGTAAAACAGCCTCTTCTATCATTGTCAGGTGTGCGTGGAGGAGAGGTACGTCGGCTCCAAGCGCTTTTAATCTCCCCAAAGAAACAACGCTAAATAATGGAGAACGTTTACCGAAACGCTGCCTGTCGCTGGGAGAAGAGCTGAGCAGGGCTGGGTAAGGCTGCAGCTCTGTGCCCAGGGCAGGAGAAGGGCTGCCGTGTGCCAGGCAGGTCTCGGGTCGCAGGCAGTGGCAGCGGGCAGGAGCTGCGGTTCTCACGGCATCTCCGGTGGAACAGTGACCCCCAGCGTCTGCAGCCCCCCACCCGGAGGAGAAGACTTGTTTGCACAACGCTATTAACGCAGCGATCAGATGCAATCGGAACAAAACGTGGGTCTGCATTGTGGCAGCGATGCTGGGCTGCTGCAGCAGTGTAATCACACCGATTACTGGTTGCGGAGGACCGGTCCCAGTGGGCTGTTTTGTGCTGGGAGAGATTTACTCGGGTTTTGTGAGGCGCTTTAAAAAATCCACATTGCTCAGAGCTGCTGGAGCCGTTGGAAGAGTATGAAGCTGTGGGCAGTGCCTGGGGAAGAAGGCTTTGCCGTATTACCACTTGAAACAGCTACAAAAGCCAGGTATTTGCACCAGAAGCACCTGCCAGTGCAGGCAGCTCCTCTGCACTCTTGGGTTCTTACATCTGCCTTGAGGGTTTTCATTAAAGGAATGAATTTCTTTTTTGGCAAAGGCAGTGTACTGTTCTATTATCTCCATATTCTGGCACTCCGCATTTTGTTCTTGATAAGAAAGAAATCTAAAATAAGACTCAGAAAGGTTTTTCACGTGGCAAGCGTAAAATGTAATTACGTGGCATGGGTTTCCTGTTGTTTTTATGTATGGCCTCTCTGGTTCCTGGTGTGAGTATTTCTAAGTAATGAATACAAAGGTCTTATTTGGATTGGAGCAGTGCAGAGGCACTCAGGATGGTACTGCTCAGGGCAGCGGGTGTCAGAGGGCTGCAGGCTCCCCTGAATGTTTCAGTTCTGGCTGGGTTATCAGCTCATCAGCAATTCTTCCAGGAGACAGTGGCTCCAGGAGCCCCAGATCAGCACTTCAGTATTCACTGTCATTACCTGAGTTGGCATGACAACATTGCGGCGGTGCGACTGGGAAGAACGACGGGGGAAAAGCTGTGTCTCCAAAGCTCAGCGAAGCCATCCTGCTGGAGCTGCTCTGCCAGCAGGCCGAGGGCAGCGGGCAGAGGGATGCCGCAGCCCAGATCTCACTGCCCCAGCTGGGAGGTGGTGCATCATCATGCTGCTTTCTCCCCAGGTGCTGCTAATGAAGAAGAATGACTGCAGCCACTCGAGCTAAAAATAACTTTTCCATAGCAGGAAAAGACCAGTCCGTGCTCCTGCTGGATGCTTGGTTAGTTTGATAGATCTCTCACTCAACAGTTTGCAGCCGTTACATTTACAGGCAACGTTATTTTTGGCTGCTGTCCCTTGCATGTCACTAATGTTTAACCAAATGAACTTGCAGGATTATAACAGACAGAGACACTGGTGGAAGTGACAGGCACAGAGACAAGTGCTGCAAGAAGCTAATTTACACATCGAATTTCACAGCCCGAGCCTCCCTTCCTGCTCAATAAGCTCATCAGCTGCTGCTTCATACCCGCCAGCCAGCTCTCATAAAAACAAGGGAGCTCAGAAAATGGCTTTTTTTTTCCTTTTTTCCTTTCTTTTTTTTTTTTTTGCCTTCCTGCTTAGACGACGGATTCTAATAAAAACCACTTTTTAATATGGTTGAGACTAAGTCCTCTTTTATGTGGAAATGTGAATTTAATGTAAATAGTTTGCGCTGCTCTGCTTCTCTTTAAGGGCTTGTTGGCTGCTGGCAGTCTCTGCGCAGCCTTTCAAGGCACTCCAGAGGCACTGAGCTCTGAGATGTGGGCAGATCTCCGACGGGGTTCTTGCTGCCTCTCCTGGGGGCCTCTCTGCACTCTGCAATGGATGTTTTCTCAGAGAGCGATCAGAAAATGCAACATCTGCAGTTGTGAAATTGCCCCCATTTTCCCATGAAGGAAGATTGTTATTGAGAGAGAACGCAGCACGTGGAATCCAGGAGCTTTGCAAAGAATCTCGACAGGTTGATGGTTGGACTTGACGATCTCAGAAGTCTTTCCAAACGTTATGAAGCTGATTCTAAGCCCTGGCGTTCTGGCTTTGTTTGTGCAAGGTGTGCACAGACAAGGATGTGCACAGATGTGTCCAAGCCTTAGTCTGGCACCTCAGGGTTACGGAAACTATTCATTAACATCTTCAAAATCCTTTTTTTTTTTTCCTTGCTATTTTCAGTTCACAGAAGAAATTGAAATGGCAACCAAGCTTTCCAGCAGCAGAAACGCTGCTCTGCAGCCAGTTCCAGTCTCTCCTGTTTATGAGGCAGTATAAGTTTTCACTGCATAATAAAAACAATCATCTGTATTCCTTGGCTGCGAGCAACAACACTGACAGTGGAGCAAGTTTTGGTGCTTTGGAGGAGAATATGAATCATCTCAGCCACAGAACAAAGCGCAGAAGACCCCTGAGCACTGAGCAAAGCTGCACAACAACGCACCAGGCCTGTTCTCCAACCTCTGCAGGCGTTGCAGTGCTGAGAAAAAGCTGAATGTCCTCAGAGGAATATTGCTGCCACATCTCTGAGGTTTAAACGGTTGCTCACGTGTTTTTTTTCAGGCCAGGATGCGCAGATGGGAATGTTATGTGCTGGCTTGGGGCGGGAGCACAGGTAGCAGCCCCAAGCTGAGAATTGCGGCGTGGCTCTGCAGCAAGGAAGCGCATTATCCATCCAGAACGATAGAGATCCCCATCGTGTCCCGAAAGCACGCAGTTAACAGAAAGCAGCGATGTGGTTTTGTGCTATGGGCAGAGCTGTAGGCTGGAGCGGCCCACAGCCATCGCCTCCCATGAGGACACACAGAGCTCATCACACTCCTGGCTCTCCTCGCAGCCCTTGAAGTTAAGGAGGGATTTGTGTTCCTGACGCCATTCGTTCCCTGAGGGCTGGATCACGACTTCCCAATGCACATCTTAGAACCAAAGCTTCCAGAAAGAAGGCGCTGGAAAGCTAAAGACCTGATGTGTTCATCACCCACACAGCCTGCACGCAAATTTATTTTAGTCCCTTTCCAGGAGAAAATCTGGGCGCTGCGTTTTGCCTCACCAAAAGGCGACTTAACGTCCCGACGGGCCCGGATACCCGGCAGCCCGCGGCCTCTCCCCGCCCCTCCCGTCGGGAAGGGCGGCCCGCAGCGCTGCGCTCGGACCAGGCCGGGCATCACCGCCCCTCCCCAAGATGGCGGCGGGCGGGAAGGCGGCCAGCGGGGCCGGCGGCGGGAAGAGGCGGCAGGTGAGGGCCGAATCGGGCTGCTGCCGCGGGACGGAACGGGGAGCGCCTGGAGAGCGCTCGGGATGTGGAAGCCGTTGCGATGGCACGGGGATGGCGGTCAGCCACGTCCTGCCCTGCTTTGTGCTCTGCTGGCCGTGAGCTGTACGAGGCTCTGTTTAGACCTCTTTATTCTCCCACTCGTGTTTCCCGCTGTGGCTGTGCTGGGTGAGGTTTCTCTCAGAGCTTCGTGCCCGGCCTCCCCACACGAGCTGACTGCTGATGTGTTCAGGTGCTTTTGAACTTCAGGAGCTTCTTTTTTTTCCTAACAGACTTGTTCACACAAAGCAGCTGGCAAACGGCCCTCCAAGAGGCTAAAATTCGAAAGAACGAGTCTGGTGAAGTCAGGACTGGCAGGTTGTGTGTGTGGGATTGAGAACCCTGCTGCCCCTAAAGCACCCGCTGAGGGCTCAACTCCAGAAGGTACAGGAGATGACCAGGTAATTCAGCTGGAAAAAAGTGAAAGCATCCCAGAGACTGGTGGAGAAAAACGGAAGGAACGTGATGTTTCTTCAAAGCCATGTGCAGCGAAATCAAGGAGAGCTTCTTCAAAAACAGAAAGCAGTGAGAATCTGCCAGATCGTGCCTGCAGGGAGGAGGGGAGCAGCTGTGAGAGCTTGCTTTTGGAAGGGACCGACTTGAAGGATGGAGACATCCCTAAGAAACTAAGAGAACTGGATAACAGTGCTTTCTTGGATGAAGACAGTAACCAGCCGATGCCAGTGGATCGGTTCTTTGGAAACATTGACTTTATGCAGGTGAGAGTCTGCCTTTAACACTATGAACATTTGGACATGTGATGCCTTCATCTTTTATCTGTTTCATCAGTTCTGTGTTTAGAGGGAGCAGCAAAGATTCATTTGTGGAGGACTTTTATCTCCTCTGCATCCTTTTCAAGACTGCAGAGGGAATGGCAGCCCTCACTTTGACCACGAGCAGTGGCTGGTTCAGACAGGCTCCCTTTTGCACTCTAAGGGTTTATTCAGATGCCACTTGCATGTGTGTGTTAGTGCCTCATGTATGAGTGGGGAAGAATGGGAACTGCTGGAGATGGGGAGGCCTGCCTTTCGCAGCAACTTCACTTCATGATTTCTTCTTTTAGGATCAGCTAGCAGCTGTACTCCCGAGCACAGCAATGAGCAGGAGGGAATACAGAAGGCTGCATTTCATCGCCAAGGAAGATGAGGAGGAGGACGAGGATGCTCTCTAGCAGCAAACTGTAAAACAGAGGAAACTTTGTTTTCAGTTTTCTTTGTCTTTCTACCAGCGTGCTGGTGGTTGGCTGTATCACTAGCATGATGTCAGTGTTTGCATTTTCTTAGAGAATGGGTAGAGTCTGCTTCTACAGAGTTGTCAGATACAGGATTCCCCACACTTTTTTTAGGGCAGAGTTTGACTGAATGCTCAGAGAATTGGACATAAATTGTAATTGATTATTAATCACTAGTACCTACAAAAAAGCATGGAAAATATCAGCTCCTATTGTTACAAGTCTGAACTCATATTTACAGCAAACACTTGGCCTATTCTCACTTATTTTTAAAAAATTATCATCTTGGGACAGTTCTTTTCTTTCTGGGATGTCTGCCATTACAGCATCTTGCTAGTAATGCAGCCACTTGACTTGCTCACTTCAAAGAGGGACACCAGCTTCTGTTGTGCAAGTTGTCTTGCATTGTTTGCCTTTAAAATGCAATTCTGCTGGCAAAACTCAATGCACATATGTGATTATGAATTCAGTGTTTTTAATCTCCAGACATTAAGTAGTGTTTTTTATTGCTCCTCTGTTCTCTGAACAACCACGTGAAGCTCACAGCTTCCATCTTCCACCACATCAGCTGTGAGCACTGCCTTTTTGACAGCTCAGTAATGCAGATTGTTCATTATGTTCAAATGACTTCCAAAGGTTATGAACAGAAATTCTGTAAAGAAACACATTGGCAGTGATAAAGGCAGAACAGAATCTCTCAGCAGGACTTTACTGGTAGACAAACAAGTGCTGGTAGCCAAGTAGATATGGGTCAGCCCTTCAAATCTGTTATTTCTGGCCTGCATTTTTTAGATGATGATGAGCAACCTCATGTGATTCCAGGAATTGCTAACTCATCCAGCGTTCATGATAATACTTTGAAAGTGTGATTCTGCAAGAAGCTCTCAGATATTTATTATTACAAAAATAAAGAAACTGTTTCTAAAAATGCAGAGAAAATATGATCAGCAGATGGTTTAAATCAATATTAATTTCTACAGCTACAGTGTGTTGAACATTCAAAAATCTGAAGCCAAACAAATCGTATATGCATGACATGTTAATTTATTCAAATTCCCACTCCAGTTGATGTATTGTTTCTGTCAGTGCTAGTTCTTGGCTCCTTTTTACTCTTAAGTCTGTAACACTGAAAAAAAATCTTCATATTTTAGCGTGCTCGTGGTTTTCATCACAACTCCATCTAAAAGCAGTTCTCCCAGCTTTCCTTAAATGCCATCTTACTAATTTTTTTTCCCCTAGGCAGTATCTTCACACACAGTGCAAAATGGTGTTTGTAAGAAATGTGCCACGCTGACAGCACAGTGCTTGTTGTCAGAGTCTTTATTGCAGTCCCTTCCCCAACACCAAAACACCAGAACGTGCATTTTCACCTCTGTTACAGTTGATGTATATTCAGTGAGATGATCAGAAAGGCTCAATCCAATGGTGCTGGAGCTCCTTACTGAAAATGCACCTGCTTATTTTTCATGTAGAAATGTTTGGGAAAGGAATTGAATTGTTGCTTTAATTAGCACTGTCTGTAGCAAAACTCCTGCATTTCCAAGTCCCAGCAAGTCAGGACTCACACAGCAATACTATCTTAATAACAATCCTGTCTGAACTAGATGAATTTATCTGATAAGAAAGAGAAAGAGGTGAGAGGAAGAAAATGGAAATAAAAAACCAAAACCAACAACCAAAGTAAACATCCAGAACTTTCCTTTGAGGTAAATGATGTTAATGTCTGGTAAACATCCACTACTTAATTGATAAGCACCTTTTCCTGTGCTAAGTCCTTCTAGTCTGCAGTGGCCATGCTGTATTGTACCTTACTGTTGACTACTCATGCACCTCTACCTCCAGATACACAGTAAGATGGCAGTGATTTCACTTTTATTTTTTGATTTAAAAAATACTCATCCCTGAGAGTTCAGTTGCTATCAGCTGATATTTAGGAAAAAAAAAATGTAAAAAATGATCTACTTGTATTTTGTTACTGAGAGGTAGAAAGTGTTTCACAGAAGCAGTTTCTGCAGACAAACATGATTACTGTATAATAAGATTGTATGTGTTGCTTCAAGAAAGCTCGATCTAGAGCAGCAAAGACTGAGGGAAATCAGTGGGAAGATGCCAGAGCACAAGGGTGATAAAAGCAGAGATGCACCACATGCTTTCTCCTAGAAGACCTGCATCTATGCAACAGTGGATTGAATGGTCACAGACGAGTGCAGGTATTTTCCTAGAGAAAAGCCAGCAGCTCTGCCACTGAATCATTTGGCCTGTCTGCAGTACAGTGCCTGTGTTCCTGGTGAAGGCACAGAATAATTACCCTGAAGTATTCTTTGTTTGGCTTAACGTTCAGAGCAGTATCAACCTGCTTTGAATCATTTGCAAGAAAGTTCCGTTTCTGTACCGTGCATTTTGCACCTAGATTTATTACAGCAAGCAAGAAATCATAAGGTATCATCCGTGTCAGCTTCTGGCCTCTATTCTGCACACTGCGGCTGTGAGTCAGCTTATCACACTCAGCAGTGTCACCTAAGGTGGGAGAATCAGGCACGGTCTGAACGCGTGCTCTGAGATTGCAGTTCAATTAATGCACTGGAGGTGATAAAGGAAGAAGTCCTTGGCAGAAGAGACTTGCTAAGTAAGGTTTTGTTTAAGAAACAGGAGCGACTTAAACATGATGCCATCTTACATGATTTTGAAATGGAAAAAAACAAAACCAGAAGTTGCTTCCAAAGAGAGCACTATGCAATCTCACGGGTTTGCTTCCTTTTTCTGTAAATCTTAGTTTTGTCACAGCTGAGATTGTGATTGGTTTTCTTATGGCAAGCAATATGTACAAGTTTTAGATTATGCATTGTAAACAATAGCTGATAAAAGTACTCCCAGTTCACTTCTCTTCCATCTCGTGTTTTGACAGCTTCTGCCAGTTCTGGGACAACACTACGTTTCTTTTCTATTCTGCAGAATGCAAAAGAGAAAACAATATTGCTAGCAAAATCTGTTTCCTTAACAGTATGTCTCCATCTTCCTTCTAAAGCAAGGCAGAAGTTGCATTATTTTACTACAACTAGGTTTGAAGTGTTTTTATGAAGAAATCAATTTAGCAAATTCCCTTTGCTTCAGAAATACACAATGCCTGGAAAGAGGTGTGAAGGTTTCTGCCAGAAAGGGAAAGAAGGGAGGATATCTTTCATGAAGGATAATGTGGTAAGCAGGGTGAATTCCCATACAGGCAAAATCTGAACAGGTGAATTTGGATTGATGCTTTATACATACATGTGATCGAGATTCCAGGTGCTGAAGAGGATTCTGCTTTCCCTGTTAGTATAGGGGTTGATAGAATGCTTACATGGGCAGTCATCTCTGTCAAAAGGGCCCTGTAAAACAAGATGGCTGCTCATCATCCCGGCTCATCCCAGTCATGAACTGATGCAGCTTCCTCTCACCACAACCAGACACAGGTGAAAACACTGCCAAAACTCAGCTCTTCTCTAAGCAAGCACTGAAGTCACCGTCTCCTTCCTCTGATGTTGTCACTGCTGCTTCTTAGAACCAGAGACTCTGCTTTGGAGCAGGGCTGAACCTACCTGACAAGAGAACCATCCCTCCTTTGTGCACAGGCGCATCGCTGCCTCCTCCTCTGTCCTGTCAAAGTAGCTGCCATTATATTTCACAGATTTCAGTTTATCCGACATCAGGTCGAGTATCCTTTTATAAGCATCTCTTGCTGTAGGATGAACGTTTGAAATAAAATTACTAACCTAAAAAAAAAAGAAAGTACAGTCATTCCTTGGCATCTGGAGCAGCTTGTGTCTCTTCTACAAGTGCTGTGCTGGACTACAAAGGTACTTATATATACGTGTGAGTGTGTACTTAACATGCAGTCACACTTTTACCTCTTTCATGTAGCTTCGTATTCTGCTTTCACAGCTGTACCGCATATAGCTTGATTTGTTCTTAAAACGAGATTCTAGACCTAAAGAGAACCAGATGAATTTAGTACAGTGCTTCTAGTTCTATGCATCTGCTTAGATGTGTCCTCATGCCTTCTTTTCACAAACTCAGTATACAGGCTTTTTTCTTTCTCTGGCTCAAGCCTGCTGTCAGGGCTTAACAGAACCACACAGCCCATCTACTTTGAGAGCAGGGCTGTGTCAGCTGCTACACACAGGCTGTTGTTCATCACTGGTGAGAATGCACAGCTAATGGTGGTGACTGCATAGAAAAGCAGTGTTTTGTAACTGAGAATTTGCTCTATCGAATAGCATTATTGTGCTCTTTGTATGTGGAACGCCGTTCCACAGGGTTCTGGGCTCCTCTGTTCAAGCCTGACTGGGATCTCTGGCACGCCCAGCAGAGGGCTGCAGAGATGCGGGGTCCGGAGCATCAGGGAGAACCACGGGGCTCAGCCCGGGGAAGAGAAGGCCAAGAGCGGATCTGAGCAATGCTTATCGATATCAGCAAAGCAGGGCAGGAGGGCAGGGCCGGGGCTTTTATCAGCACAAGGCACCCCGGGCGCCAACCGGCACAGCCGGAGTTCCATGGGAGCAAGAGGAATCGCGTACCCTCGAACCACTTCCCGTCCTCGTCCCGGCGCTCGGCCGCGCCGTCCCCGCTCAGGTTGTGGATCAGATCCGCCAGCAGCCTCTGCCTGCGGGGCGCCCGCTCGTCCTCCAGCAGCCTCCGAGCGGCCTCCAGCACCGCGTCCGTCCGGCAGCACAGGGCGGCCAGGAACCGCTCCAGGTCCCCGCAGCCTGCGGGCGGAGCGCCCGTCAGCAGCCGCACACGGATCGCCCTTCAGCATCCCGCAGCATCCCGCAGCTCCCCGCCCCGCCCCGCCCCGCCCCGCCCCGCACTCACAGCCCGGCCAGCTCTCCCCGGGCCGCAGCAGCACCAGCTCCGTCTGCGGCGGCAGCGTGCGGAAGAACGCCTCGCTCAGCTCCGTCCCGTCCTCGTAGAGGCACAGCCGGCTGCCTGCCAACGGGAGCTGCCCGGGCGGTCATTCGGGTCCGAGACCCGCGGGACCGAGACCCGCGACCCCAGACCCCCGATCCGCACCTGCAGCAGCCGGCAGCCCTTTCGCAGCAGCCCACGCAGGCTCCCCGCCGCCGCCCCGAACTTCTGCGCGCTGCCGGGGCGGCGGAGGCGGAATGGCTTGAGAGGAGCCGCCATCGCTGCGCCCGCCGCTCCCCCGCCTGCCGCCGTGCGCATGCGCGTCGCTGCGGCCCGCGTTGGGCGCTGCGCATGCGTGGCGGCGCCCGCGCCGTTGCTACGGTGACGAGCGATGGAGCCGCGCTGAGGTGAGTGCGGTGCCGTGCGGGCCCGGCTCGATCCTTTCTGCTTCCCTCCGGCCGTGGATCTCTCCTCGAAGAGCTGTGTCAAGCCGTCCCGGCATTCAGGGCCCCTACGTGGCGGCTCGGGCCGTAGAACGGCTCCGTAAGGGCCGTTTCCCGAGCTGCGGCCTGCGGGGCGCTGCCCTCCGTGCTGAGGGAAGGGCGGGAAGAGATTCCTCACAGCGCCGTCCTGGGGTCTGTGCGTGTGTGTCTGTCTGTGTGTTTGTCTGTCTGTGTGTCTGTAGACTTGCATGGCTGTGAAATGCTGCTGGGTGACTTCCGCCTGGGTCGATTCTGTCCTCTTGTTATTATTATTCCCTGTCAAACACACGGGGCGGGATGTCACACTGCTCTGAAGGTCCTGCATCTGGACATGTGGGGCAAGAAGAAGCTTCTGGGCTCATCATGGTTTGAGTTTTGTCTTGGATTGTTATATTTAGCCCTCCGGTACTTGGAAGGAGCCCACAAGGGCTCTGCTTTTTGCACAGTCTGATGGTTTAACTAGCTGTACAAGTTAACCGAGCCCTCGCTTCACCAAGTCCTGCTAAAACACTCAGCATAAGAACATGGCTCATTTTATGGAGCTGGCATTCAATAAATTCAGATTTACAGTCATCAGCTGCTGGCTTAATGGACCACAGTACGGAATTCTTGGACTGCGCTGTTTCAGTGTTGTTTTATTGCCTTCCTAGGGATTAGCTTAAGTTTGAAACGTGGTTGTTTTGAATAGCTCGCCTCTGCAGGATGCCGCACAAGATTGGCTTTGTAGTCGTTAGCTCATCGGGGCACGAAGATGGCTTCAGTGCAAAGGAGCTGATGGTCCACGCACCAACAGTGAATGGATGGCGGTCACCGAGGTACTGCAAGGGAGAGGGATGTGCTTAATCCTCCAGCACTGAGTGTGCAGTGAGTGGGAGATGCAGCATGTGTGCTCAGACTAGTTTAATGCATGCTAGACCAAATTGGTTATAAAACAAAAGCTTCTGAGTTACTTTAACCTTGTGGAATCCTTGTTCTGCAGGGGAAAAAAAAGCCTTGGTTACAACAAAAGGTCATCTTAGAGTTTGTGACTGCATTGACTTGGTATTAAAACTACAATCTTCACACTACATCTTCTGGATGTATGTAGTTGTCTTAGTTTCAGCTGGAACAGTCCTTTTCCTTCATAGTGACTGATATGCTGCCATGTTAAACCACCACAGCAGTGCACATTAACAGACACACGCATGCATTAAAGTGAAAAATGTTTCTACTCTTTTTTTTTTTTGCAATATTTGTAACGATGGCAAACTATCACAACTTTGGAAAGTTTCATGATTAAATGTTATTCAAGGTGGCAGTGAAGTGATCTTTAAAAAGATGGCTCAACATTGTGCACATTTGCAGACTCTGTCAGTACCCACAAGAAATCGTTCTGCAGTTGGTGGAGAGATGTCGAATACGAAAACTGCAGCTGCTTGCTCACCAGTACATGATATCAAGCAAAATTGAGTTCTTCATCAGTGAAAGCTTGCCTGAATACTTTGCTCCTTATCAGTCAGAGAGGTTTCACAGACTAGGGTGAGTCTGACAGCTCTGCATTGTTGTATTACCTTAATCAAGGCCTCAGAAGGAAATAAAAAGCAATCTGGGGATACTGGGGCTGATCCAGCCATGTTGAAAACAGTGGGTTAAAATCAATCCCACTTAAAGCAGTGGGGCCTTAACGAGCTGGTGAGGTTTGTCTGGTTGCTGTGAGAGGCATGATGCAGGTGAACACTGGTGTAAATGACAGCGTGCTGTTTGGTTGATGAGTGAGTTTTAAACCTGATCAAAATGCTTAGTTGAGGAGCCAAAACACAGCTGTGTGTTTGTGTTTTCCTCTGCTTACTGCTACGTTTTCCTTCTCAGTTATGTCCCTCTCTCAGACAATGAGAAGACAGGTTTCAAAGCTCGAGAGTTAAAATCTGTGTATATGGATGCAGTTGGCCAGTACCTGAAGCTGATTTTCCATAAAAATTATGACAATAAATACAACTTGTACAGTCAGGTAAGTTGAGTTGTGCTCCTTGCTTTGTAAGCTAGATGGAGTTTCAGTAGCACAGAGTGGGCACAGAAATCTGCCCCCTGCACTTGTAGCAGCTGAAATGCTGATGAAAGCTCCTGAGTTCATTTTCACTCGTGACCAAATGCAGCTTATGCAGAGCAGATGAGCTCAGTGCACGTTCCATCACTGCCTTTTGTTTTGAGTTTTAGCCTGCATAGCAGGCTCTGTGCTGAAGACAAGGTAAGTTTGTAGACAGTATTGAAGTTGTACATTTTCCTACATTTGAGTAAAAGCAAGGAACAGAAGGAGAGAGATGAGTTGGAGTAAATCACTACTTGATTTTTCAGATTTGGAGGGTGAATCAGCACAAAGTGTCAGCAACTGACTGGCTGTGTGTGTTTAAACATGCTTTTCAATTTGTCTGAGATAAGAACAAAATAACCACCTTGTGCTTTCACTTTTTCTTTCAATCTCTCTCAGGTTGCCCTGGTAGCTATAAATATTATTGGAGATCCAGCAGACTACGGTAATGACAGCAATAAACAGGTAAGTGCAGAGCATCCCTGTGCTTTTACTGTTGCTGCATTGTTGAGCTGCAGGGTTCTTGAGATAATGAATGCATCTTCGGGTAGTTTCATCCTTCAGCAGAGGTGCTGTACATCGATTTTGATCTAACTTTGAAATAAGGGGGATCTCAGAAATTGAGCCTAAGTTGTGTATGCGAAAATGAAAGCAATCAATTGGAACGTTTGCATTTGCACCCTTAAAGTTCTCACTATTACAGTGTCAGAATTTCTATCCTGAACACCCATGTTGTTGATGAATGTGCATTAAGATCTTTCTTTTCCCCACAAAGCCTTCCAGAGAGAAGCTGATTGACCACTACTTAGGAATTAAATCAGATGATCCTGCCTTAGATGGAACATACCTAGGGTAAAGATATTCTATTGCATATACTCTGCCAACCATCTTCCTGCTCTCCACTAGTTCTCAGTCTCTGTATTCCGTTACCTCTCTGCCTGTGAAAAGAAAACCAATACCCACAGTTACTGATTTCTCTTGTCCTGTATCTTCAGGAAGTCCGACTCCATCTCCCCTCTGGATGATTTGGCTTTTGACATGTACCAGGATCCAGAAGTTGCCCAGATAATACGCAGACTGGATGAGAAGAAGCACGACGCCGTCCGTCAGGAGCGCTACGATTACGCCAAGAAACTCAAACAAGCCATTGCAGACTTGCAGAAGGTACTGCTCAAAGCTGCTCGTCTCTGAAGCCACCAGGTGCTCTGGTGATCCATCAAGGATCTTAGCATTAACGTGGAAGCATAACAACTCCCAGTGTGTTGTAAAAACAGTCATTTTAAATTCAGCTGGCTTAATTGTTTGTTTGGAAGTCACGTACGTGTGTGTTTCTAATGGTGTGATCCCAAGGTAAGTAGCTGAAATGTCTTCCAGGTAGGGGAGCGACTGGGACGGTACGAAGTGGAGAAACGCTACGCTGTAGAGAAGGAGGATTATGATCTTGCTAAGAAGAAAAAGCAACAGATGGATGCGTACCGCCTGAAAGTGTATCAGCAGCTGCAGCTCCACAACCTGCTGGATGCAGAGCTGATGGTGGGTGCAGTTCCTGGTTTGGGAGGCTGTGTCACATGAGTTCTGTAAATAGAAAGGGCTGAGCAACCTGCATAAATGCAGGGAATGAGAGTCGTTACCAGAGAGGCTTTTTCTTTGGACTGTGGGTTTTCCCTACCAGAGACTCAAACATTATGAACGTGATTAATTCTCAGTAAATTACATTAGAATTTAAAGCAAATAACATCTAAATTCCTAAATGTTATTCCAGAGCTGCACATACAGATTCACAGGGCACTGACGTTCATTTGAAAGAGGCAGAATATTGTTTACTGTCACAGCTGTGAATGTAAGGACTGCTTTTAGTACAATGTCGCCTCTCTTTCAACATCTCAGACTCGAAAGCCACCCGACCTGCCTGTGGAGCCTGCGGTTTATGATCATCTTCAGCACACAAAGGCTGCAAATTCACCTCCTCATGAGAACACAGAACTGCAGAGTTCACAGGGAGAGCTGTGGAAAGCAGAGTCTTTGCAGGAAGAGAAGCTGGCAGAACCTCATTCTCCTGAGCCTGTTTTTCTCCATCAGGCCACTCCTCCCACTCTGTCTCATCCCACAACCTCCAGGGAAGTGTTTGCCCAAGAAGAAGTAAGTAACGTGCCTCTGTTGCCAGAGAAATCCCCACAGCAAGAAATCTTACGTTCAGCCTTCCAAAACAACAAGGTCTGTTGTGGGTTTTCTCATTGCTTGTACAGTATTTGAAACTGTTTGCTGAGTATTGCTGATCTAATAATTGCTGTTGGCCTTTCACTTGGCTGAATTTCTTGGAAAGCTGTTAAAAATGTTCATTCAGATGGAAGATAAAAAAAAAAAAAAGACAATATCTGACTTACAGACGGATGAACAGAAAATAGACATTAAATGACTGCAGGAGTCACAGCTGCTTTGGTAGCAGGACAGGCAGCTGCAGTCTGCTTAATAGTGGCTTAATAAATCTTGGAGATCACGTATGTCAGCAGCAAACAAATTTATGTGACTGCAAGGAAAGCAGCAGAGTCTTGGCAAATCTCATGAAGGCTTGCTGTGACTTTTGTAGCAGTAATATTCTCTTAATAGCATGATGACATAAAATAATTTAGCAAGTAGAGCTTATGGCTTGCTGGCTGCCTACCAACAGGTGGTTCCTGTAACTGTCTGCACTTCCACAAAAGGCATTTGGTGTGTGTGTGATGGGATGTAAGAGATAAGCACTACTTGGAAGCACTGATTCTGTTTTTTCACAATACCTCTATGGAAACTTCAGTATCTGTACTTAATTGTAAAGCAGTACTGCTTTGAAGGGAAAAGTGAATTGAATCGAGGCAAACCCAATTAATGATGAAACAACTTCACATCTGAGTTATTCCTGGAATAGCAGCTCTTATCTTCCCTGTTAGGTTGAATTTTTACCTTATGATGAGAGACCTCTCCCAGCCATCCACAAACACTCCGAGGAAGCAATTCGATACCTTGAGCCAGAGAAAACTGAGGGAGACAGCAGTAATACTCCAAGAAGTGGCATTGCTGGGGAACCAGAGCCACTGAGTGAGAAGGCACTGAGGGAGGCCAGCCCTGCTATTGAAGTTTTTGGAGAAGCTCTGGTAAAGAACAACAAAATAAACACGTGGATTATTGGGATCTGTTGTGAGTTTGTTTGGTGTTCGCTCAGTCAGCAGGGAATTGCTGATGTGGTTTTTACACCTTCAAAGATCAGAAACACACAGCAGGACCAGGGGATGTGGATGCCTGGGTTGGGCACCACCTTGGCACTGGAGCTTTTTGGATTGATGACTTGATAATCTGCTAATTGTTTATTGCCTAGTCGTCTGCTTGGGGTGCAGGCCCTACCTGGATACCTGCACTGAAAAGGGATTTTTGTAGAGAGAGAAACCATTACTGTGTCTCAGGTGGTTCCTGGAAATATGATCTATTCATCCATTTTACTCAAATTCCTCAAAAAATAAGTGCAGAAACACCTGCAGTAAAAGCCAGGTTCCCTTGGAAAAGGCCTGGGGATTTGATACTTCAGTTCACGCATTCTTTTCAGGTTGTTTCTGTATATAAATATTGAAACATCAGTACTGACCTTTTAAAAGATGGTCTTGCTTTGTGTTCAGGTCTCTGGAGCATATTCCAAAAGTTGGTCGTATCGAGAAGATGCATTGCTGGCTGTGTACAAGAAGCTGATGGAAATGGCAGCAAGCACTGCCAAGGAGGATTTAAGGAACATGCTGAGGGCTGCGATTTTTCTTGTAAAAAGAGCCATAAAAGACATCGTATCTTCAGTAAGTAGTGATGTGTGTGATAAGAAAATGTCTCCAGCCTGCAATTTGCTCCATTTATGTTTGCTCTGTCCCAGTGAAATCAGCAAGGCCTCACTCAGTGCTGGGATCACTCAGTGCTGGAATTACTCAGCAGCAGATCTCAAACTAAGGCAGAAGAATTTTAGATACCATTTAAAAAATACTGTGGTTGTGCTTCTTCCCTATGGTATTTTCTTCACCGTTTCTTTCTTTTTATTTAGGTTTTTCAGGCTTCCCTGAAACTTTTAAAAATGCTCATTACACAATATGTACCAAAACACAAACTGGGAAAGCTGGAAACTTCTCACTGTGTGGAAAAAACACTTCCAGGTTTGCTTTCCAGAACAGGAGACTCTTCATCCCGCCTTCGCATCATGGCTGCTAAATTCATTCAGGTCAGAGCTTTTCTGTGCACTGCAGTTTGGTTAACATCAAGAACGTCACAGAGGGACCAGTGGGTGACATCTGACCTGGCTGGGTGTCAGTGCAGAGCTTGCAGCTGTGAGGGGAGGCAGAGCAGGAGCAGCAGCTGAGCCTCAGGATGTGATTGAAGCATAGCTTGTAATAGCCAACTTAACAACAGCATACAGAAATGCCTGGTTAGAAGACAAAGTCCACTCCATGTTAAGTGTTGGCAAAGCACAGTTGGGAAGATCTGCTGGGGGATTACTGTGCTGTTTTCCAGTAGAGTTCAGGAGAGTAATTCTGTGTGTTAATCCAGCCCCAGGAGGGGGGTAGGTGGGTCTCTGGCTCTGGGTTCTTTATCTGTGATTGCATCCATACAGAGAAGGAAAATGAGTTCCTTTCACTGGAGGATGTAACTGAAACTTCAAGGTGTGCGATGCTCTCATGTGCCACCAGAGCCCCCAGAAGTGACTGACTGCTTTATCACTGCTGCTTGACTTATTCACAAGAGATTTGTAACTGAATGTTTCAGCGCCATGAGGAAGTGGTCACACATTGTAGAGCTCTGGCCTCAAGAGAAGGAAACTGCTTTTCTGTCCCCAGCACGAGGTGCTGCACTGCCCCAGGAAGCAGTTCCTTAGGGAAGGTGCCAGCTAGAATTAACTGATCCCTGCTGAGATAGAAACAACCAGCTACATTTCAGCAAAGTTCTTGCTTCATTGTACTGCACTCACTGTAAGCCAGGTAGATTGACTCTGCTTGGCCAAGGCACTCGTTGGCCTCATGTAGCACTCCTACAGCACACTGTGTTTGCAGGAAATGGCTCTGTGGAGCGAAGTGAAACCTCTTCAGATTGTTCCACTTCATTTGGTTCAACCCCTAAAACCGAATTCCCCGACACACCTGGCCATGAGTCGAGTGGAATTAGTTGAGTGCCTCCTGAAAGAGATGGGAACTGAAAACTCAGGCTTCACCGTCAGCAACGCCATGAAGGTGGGAGTCGCAGCACTTGGAGCTGCTTTCTGTTGCTGTCGGATTCGTGTTTATTTCTGCTCTCTTTTCAGTTTGCAACGGGAGCTTTGGAGCACAGAGTTTATGAAGTTCGTGACGTAGCACTGCGAATTATCTTCCATATGTACAGGAAGCACAAAGCTGCCATTCTGGAATATCTCCCTCCAGATGATGCAAGCATTCGCAAGACTGTTCTCTATAAAACACTCTTTGATGGATTTACTAAAATAGATGGTAAACTTTCTGAAGCTGAAATGAGGGTAAGTAAGAAGATTGCTGGTATTTTGTGTTCTGCAGATTCTCCTGTATGCAGATGGTTCAAAAACTTTCATAATTGAAGAGTTTTCTTCGCAGGCACAAAAAAAGGCAGCAACAGAAGAAGCAGAGAGACAGAAGAAAGCAGAAATAAAAGTTCTTCAAGATCAGCTGGCAGCTCTAAAGGAGATACAAGCAGAAGTTCAAGCTGGAAAGGTCGGGGTGTTTTGGTTTTGCTCTAAATATGACATTTTTAAACCTTTTCCTCAAGTGCCTCCTTGCAAACTATTTGAGCATGGGACAAGTAATGCCAGTTGTAAGAGGGATGGCGGTGTGGAAGAGGGAGGGAGAGCCTCCTCTCTGATTTTCACCCTGAGTTTCACACCTGGGGTGTTGTTTTTTGTAACAAAATAAGGAATTGGAATCCTTCCCATTTTAGAAGCTGATGGTGCTGTAAAGTGTTGGCCCTGCTTCTAAGCCTTTAATTGCAGAGAGAAATCAAAATCAGTTCTTCTTCTCCCCAGTTAGTATCACAGTCACAAAAGACATTTCTGACTTAAAAAATTCTTTGTTCATAGGAAAAAGAGTCTGATTTCCAGAAGGCAAAAGATCAAGGTAGGTAATTTCAGGTAGTACTAAGAGCTGAGATGCCCTGGAAACACTGTGGGTGCTCAGTGTGTCAGGTTGTATTGATCTTGCATTAGATCTGTTGCTTTTGTTGTCAGCAGAAGGAATATTTCCATTTTCTTTTTTACAGGATACAAAAGCCCACAGCCTGCAGCAGCAGAGATTCCAGATGATCATTCCTCTGTTGCAAATTACCTGGATAAGTAAGCTGGATTAATAGCTTCTAATCACCTTAAGTACTTTGTACAACCTGCTAACAGCTATAGTAGTGTTTCTCCAGTAGATCAAAGCTCATAATTTAAACAGTGGAAAAGAAAACCTTTCTAACAGATTGAGAGCAATCCTGGATGTTGAGGTGTAACTACTAGGCTGGCACTACTCTGAATTTGTTTTCTTAGTAGCTGTTGGTGGGATAAAAAAATAAGCACAGGTCAGGACGATGCAGGGAAAATAAGGGCTGTGTTTCAGAAGGTTTCTAATAGTGGGGACATCTGTTCCCATGTATGTGTTACTGATGCTCTGGTGTTTGGCTGTTCCATTGATTGCTTTGTGCTTTGCTGTCTTTTTCCCCAGCCTGTGCATTTTTTGTGGTGAAAGGAACGAATCCTTCACAGAGGAAGGACTGGATCTGCATTACTGGAAACGCTGCCCTATGTTAACCAGATGTGAGCACTGCAAGCAGGTCAGGCACCACAAGTCAGTAGCAGTTTTTATTCTGTTACCATGACAAGATATTTAATGCTACAGCAGAGGAATGCTCAGCACTGAGTGATTCGGGGTGGCATTTTTAGAAAAAAGCAGTTGTACAAAATGTATCAACTGCACTCCATTTCTTTTTTCCATTTCCTTTCAGAAGAGATCCTTAGCTTCCAAAAATCACAGGGGAAGCTTTGTTTTAATGCTGTTCTTGTTTACTCAGTACAAATCTTGGGTACCTCTGTTGTGCTGCAGGTGGTAGAAATAGCAAGCCTGACGGAGCATTTGTTGACTGAGTGTGATAAGAAGGACAGCTTTGGGAAATGCCAGCGGTGCAGTGAAGCCTTTCCAAAGGATGAGTTGCCCAAACACGTTAAGAGCAGGACCTGCAATGGTGAGTAGTTGTCAGCAGAAGGCTGAACTTCAGAAGTCAGGTCAGCGCAGCATCCAAGCACTGCACGTTTTTGTCAAGTCAGACCACTGCTGTTCAGTACTGCACAGCAATACTGAACCTCAGTCTGTCGTCAGGAGAGAACGTCTGACAAAAATCCCTGCCTTTCCCAGTGCTTGAAATGCTTTGCTTCCATGAATGCATGTGGGGAAAACAAGTGAGGAAAGAAAAGGCAGCTTGTGTCACATCCCTGCACTTTGAGGCCAGACTGGGATGGTTTACTACCCATGGGGTGTAAATGATCATAAAGGATCAGACTTCTTTCAGAGCAGTGAGTGATGATAGGCTGGGGCTGCTTTAATCCTAGGGCAGCCTTCTGTGAGTTGTTTGCTACGCAGATCCTCCTTGTGTGTTCAGACTCACCTGTCTGTGCTGTACTTGTTTTATCCTTTCAGCTGCCAAACCTGAAAATGTGGCAAACCATTGCCCACTGTGCCATGACAACTTTTCCCCTGGAGAGGAGGTAAGGCTGCTTCCCAGATTGGTCTGATTTTGTTCCATCATGAGGATGGAGTTTTTGCCCTCCTAGAACACTGCTTTACATGCAGAGATTCCAGAACTCACCAGGGTTACGGAATGGCTCTCATTCTCAGGGGACTTGAAATTAGGGGACGTGTATTTCTTTGTTACTTGTGCCCACATTCCTCTTCTCTGCCCTCTGCTGTCGTGCTTCCAAGTGCTGGCAGTCTGCATTCTTTAGTGGCACTGAATGCCTCAGCTATCCCTGCGTCCCCTTCTCCTGTGTTTAAGATTCTCAGTAGGCAGGAGGGTGGCTAACCTTGCTGGTTTCTTAATATCACTTCTTTATAACTGGTTAGGCCTGGAAGTCACACCTCATGGGCACGGATGGCTGTGCAATGAATCTACGAAGGTTTTCCACCATAAATAAAACTATTCCAATGCAGCCTGGTAAGACTTCTTTGTAATGATTGTTCTTTTTTGCTGTGTTGCCACTGCTTAAGGAAAGCATTTCAGCCTCGAGAGCAAGGTGGCTGCTTACATTTTCAACACGCTTTTTGCATTTGGGTTGTGATGTTTGGTAACAGTGCCTTCAGTAACAGTAATTTCAAGGTCAATTGCCAGGGAAACTGACACATCTGATAATTGGATCGTTTCAGCCTTGCTTCTACTTAACAGCATGCTCATGAATAGAACAATCAGCAGTGATAGCAAGCAGTTACAGTCTGGAAAGCTCCTGACCACCAATGCAGTGCATTGAGAGCCTGTTTTGGCTGTGATGTCCAACAGAGGACGCTGGTCTCATCCTAAGTGCAAAAGGAATCGAGTGCTGTGTGCTGGGTGCTGCTTTTCCTGTCCCAGTGGAAGCAGGAGCTGGGCAGAGCTTAGGGCTGTGCAACTTCAACATCAGCAGAGAGAAAGTGATGCTCATCTCAGACTTCTTAAAGTTGTCTTTGCTTATTTGGCACATGTAGAATCCCCTTGCTTTGTGAATGCAGAAGTTAAGCAAACAAGCTATTTCCACTGCTTGCAGCACCAAACCTGTTCTCCTCCACTGCTTTTTCTTCCCTTTTTTTTCAGTGCTGTTTCATCCCCTCCGTGCTCAGATTGTTGCCAGAGTTAAACTGCTGTGTCTGAGTTCTGCTTTGCTCACAGCTGCTTTTCAGGGCTGTGCCAAGCTCCTGGGCAGAGCCCTCACATGCTGTCTTTCAGCTGCTGTCAGTGAATGCAGTTCAGCTCAGGGCTCAGACGAGCAAGCAGTGACCTGTGGCATCTCTTCACAGGCAAAACAGGAGGCCACTATTTGAAGAAACCAAGTCCTTCAAGAACCAAAGTTCGACCTCCCTCCATAGGAAGCAAGATCCCAACGCCGAGAGGAGGCCCGAATAAAAGCCCAGGCAAAACATTCTCAAAGCAGTGACAGGACAAGGGCTGTGCTTCGCATTTTGTATTTAATAATTGGGTGTATCATTATTAATGGCCATTTAAAACTCCCGAGCAACTCAGATCTTTTCCATATGATGGCTGAGGCTGTGCAGGCCTGGAGCAGAGCGGTGAGGGCACTGCTCCATGGCTTCCACAGCAGCACTGTGGTTTTCTCATTAGAAAGGAGCAAATCCTCCATTGCAGCCTCGCTCCCTGCTGTGCACAAGGAAGGTTGTGGCTGCTTCCTCGTCCCAGAAACAGCCCAGGGCACAGGATTCACTGGAGGGATGCTGTGCTTCCTGCCCTGCTGAGCACAGCCCTGTGGCTGCTCAGGGGCTCCACGGTGGTGCAGGTGAGCGATGGAGTCAGCAGGCATTTGGTGTAAGGTGGAATGAAAAATGTGCGTGCGTGTGGGAATCAGAATACACACAATGTGTAACTAAAGAGCCACGTGGCCCTGCTCAGCTGAACTGAACCCTTCAATTGGTAAAATACCAACTGCATAAGGCAGAATTCTTCCTTCCCTGTTTGTGTAATGAAAACAGAGAGGGGATGCAGTGCAGCTGAAGAAAGCTGTGAGGGCTTTTGCTTTTCCCTTTTGCAAATCCTAGAGCGTTAACAGCATTAATACTCAGCTGCTTTGTCAGGGCGCACGAGCAGCCAGAGCTGAAGGAACTTCAGTGGCCACAAACCACGCATGGCTGTGATTTATGCAGGGAGCGAAGGCGCGGTGCTGCTTTGTACACAGCACTGATTTTGCAACACAGCTTTGTGCAGCCTGCCTACGAGCGTGTGGATTTCACAGGTGGAGCAGCACAGTCGCGTTTTGAAAGCCTTTATATGAATTGTCAAATTATCAATAGCATATATACATATTCATAAGGGTTGTATATTTCATGTAATGTACGCTTCCTTCCACTGGGGAGCTGCAGGTTCCTGTGTTAGAGCCTCGCTCCTCGTGCAGGCACAGCAGCTGGTTGTGCTGAGAGCTGAGCGGGGCCGAGCCACGGCCTGCGGGCGTGCGGCTGCAGCAGAGCGCGGCTCCTGCCGGAGGTGAACTGCGAGCTCGGCGTCGTGCAGAGGAAAAGAGGAAGAGCCGTTTGCGCGCTCTGCATTGGCCGATGCGGCGCCCGCAGTTGGTGAAGGCAGCTCGGCATCGCTCCTCGAGCACGGCTCCTAAACACGGGCAGAACGTAATTAAGGCAGTTAATGAGCTGCATGCGGGCAGCAGGATCTGCGCTTCTATTTTATAACTTGACCGAACCTTTCGAGATGCGCTTTTAGTAACCAATAAAACACTTGAGCTAAGAACAGCGTTTTGCCTCAGCCCGAGGCCCGGCCGCTCGCTGCCATAGGGGAGGAGCGGGGCGCGGAGGAGGAGCGGGGCGCGGCGCGGTGCCGCCCCGCCGTGCGGCGCAATGGCGGCGGCGTGGCCGGAGCTGGAGGCGGCGGCGCGGGAGCGGCGGAGGGAGCTGGCGCTGCAGGGAGCGGCGGTGGCCGAGCGGGTGGCGGCGGGCGGCGGGCGGCTGCCGGCCGAGCTGCTGGCGCTGCCGCTGCTGCAGTCGCTGGAGCTGAGCGGCTGCGCGGCGCTGAAGGAGCTCGGCCCGGGGCTGGCGGCCGCGCTGCCCGCCCTGCACACGCTGGTGCTGAGCGGCAACGCGCTAGGCCCCGCCGGGCTGGGCGCGGGGCTGGGCGGGCCGCTGCCGGCCCTCCGCCTGCTCGACCTGTCCGGGAACGGGCTGGAGGCGCTGCCCGCCGAGCTGGGCGGCGCGGGGCCGTCGGAGGAGGGGGGGGAGGCCGCGGCCTTCCCGCAGCTGCGCAGCCTCAACCTGAGCGGGAACCGCCTGCGGGAGCTCGGCCCGGGGCTGGCGAGGGCCGCGCCGCAGCTGCGGGAGCTGCTGCTGTCCGGGAACCGGCTCCGCGCGCTGCCCGGGGCGCTGCTGCCGCCCGCCGACGCCGCGCCGTTCCCGCTGCTCGGCCGGCTGGAGGCGGCCGACAACGAAGTGGAGGAGCTGAGCCCGGACATCGCCGCGCTGCCCGCGCTGAAGGTGAGCGACCGCAACCCCGACCCCGCGCCGCCGCGACCCCGCGCCCCCGTGACCCCGCGCTCTGCTCCCGCAGAGTCTGGACGTGGCCAACAACCGGCTGAGCGCGCTGCCCGCCGCCTTGGCCGATTGTCCCCGCCTGAAGGAAGCCAACCTGCGCGGAAACCCGCTGCGGGACCGCCGCCTCGAGAAGATGGTGAACGGCTGCCAGACGCGGGCCGTGCTGGAATACCTGCGATCCAAGGGCCGCGCCGAGGGCGGCCGCGAGGAGAACCGGAGGAGAAAACGGGAGAAACAGCAGAAAAAAGACGGCGGGGACGGGGAGCGCGATGAGGCGGAGGAGGTCGGGAAGCTTCTGCTGAAGGTCCTGCATGTGGGCGACAACCCGGCGCCGATGGTGGTCAGGGCGAGCCCGGGCGTCAGGGACGTGCGGCCCTACATCGTGTGCTGTGTGCTCAGAGGGGTGCAGCTGCGGCCGGGGAACGCCGTGCGGAGGTTCCTGAGCGCCCAGGTACGGCGGTGTGCAGCGCTGCTGGGAGGCTCGAGGCTCCTCGTGGCTGCCGTGTCCCCATCCCGCAGTGCTGGAGGCTTTTCCTCGCCCCACGCTGCTCATCTCCCAGCTCAGATGCAGCCCCCTGTCCTCGTGCTTCTGTTGTGAGTGGGGTGAAATTATCCTGCGCTTGGAGGTGAAGAGCAGAGCTGTGTGTGATGCTGAGGGGCAAGCAGAGCTGTCCCAGGCCGTGGCTGTGGAGGAGTGGCTGGGCTCTGGAATGGGCTGCGCAGGGAGGTGGTGGAGGAGCCGACCTGTTGGTGCCGAAGGAACACTTAGATGTTGTATGGAGGGACGTGGTTTAGTGAGGTCTGTTGGCCACGGGTTGGACTGGATGATCTTGAAGGTCTTTTCCAACCTTGGGGATTCTGTAAGTGGGTGCGAGGATGTATTGAGACCCGTTGAAATGGTGCTTCCTCAAGCATTTGTAGCACTAAGTAGAGCGGAGCGCTGAGCCCTGGTGGTACGTCGTGCTGATACCTGGCTGTGCTGTGACGATGCTCTTTGTGTTTTAGACCAAACTGCATGAAGATATATGTGAAAAGAGGACGGCGGCCACGATCGCCACCCACGACCTGCAGCTGGTCAAAGGGCCGCTGACGTACAGCGTGCAGCCTCCTGCTGAGCTGAAGGTACAGCAGTGCCAACCGCGCGCCTCTCCTCCCTAATTTCCCTTTGTTTTCTGCAGCCGTGAAGGAGGGAGAGGTCAGAGCTGAATGGCTGTTTCTCATTTGGTGTAGATAACTCCTCTGGGCCGAAAGGAGATCAGAGCCAAGGATCTCCTCCGTCAGCTGCAGATGGAAGCGGAGGAGCAGAGGAAGCAGAAGAAGCGGCAGAATGTTTCTGGGTTGCACAAGTCAGTGTTGTGTTGTTGATCGGCGTGTGCGTTTTGCCAGCTTGTTCTTGTGTAGAAAAACAGCTCTGAAGGGAACGTGAGGGGTAAACCTGTGGCAAAGGGGGGTTGAGGAGTGACTTCCATCGTTTCTCCGCACATCAAGAGTAAATTCTTGTCACATTTGTCGCCTGTGAGAGTAATTTGTGTATATAAAGTAGAAGGGAGCCATGGAGAGATGAAGCATCACGCCAATTCAGTAAACTAAGCAGAGGAGAGGCGCTGTAAGTCTGTAGAACAGAAGAGCTGTGTTCTGTTTGCTGCTCATGTAGAGACCACAGCCGTATCCATCAGGCAGTTGGAGGAGCTGGCCAAGTCGTAATGGGGGAGCTGTGCGTTGCCACAGTGAGTGAGAGGGCAAATAACGTAAATAACTCGTCTGGAAGAATCAGACAGTGGACTCTGATGCTCCTGTTGAAGCACGGGGATCTGGGACAGCAGCAGCAGCCTGTCTGTGTGCTTTGGCAGTGTGGAAATGGAGATGTGAGTTATTTGATGTTCCTGGCCAGCGCTTCTTGTAGTTTTTACTGCATCACCATGGCATCATTTAGCTGGGTTTTAGTGCTCTGACGCCTGTTTTTGCTTTGTGGCAGATCAGGAGCGCACTGATTCCTTTCTGTCACTGTTTTCTGCCGTTGTGTCCAGCTGCTGTTTCAGTTACTTTGCGGTGTTTTGTTTCTTTTCTGCTTTTCCTGGTAGGTATCTGCAGTTGTTGGATGGCAAAGATAACTACCCGTGTCTCGTGGATGCTGAAGGTGCTGTGATTTCCTTCCCACCAATAACCAACAGTGAGAAAACAAAGGTACTGTGTGCCATGGATTTGTTCATCAGAATTCATGTGTTCAACTCCAGATTCTGAACTGCATGCATTCTGTGATGCTTGTCACTGTGCTCCAAACCACACATCTCCAAAGCCTCGCTCCCCTCTACCAGACTGATTCAGAGGAATCTCAGAGCTCCATTTCTCCCTTTCTAACTTGTCCAGCTCTAGCAAGCTGCTCCAAGGGCACCAGGCTGCCCTCGCTGAGGGGGCTTTATGGATTGGCAAAGCTCTTTGCCTCTGGTTGAGTCAATGAAAGCCTTTCGTTGCATTTTTGCATTGAAGTGTTGCCACTGTGGGTGAGGATGCAGGAATTCATGGCTTGCTTTACCTGTGACATTCCTGCAGATCAGAAAAACCACCCGTGATCTGTTCCTGGAAGTGACAAGCGATACGAGTTTGCAGATATGCAAAGATGTCATGGATGCTCTCATTCTGGTGAGTAATTCAGTAACAGCCCTCTGTGCTCCTCAGCAAAATGCTCCATGGCTCACATGTATGGGAGAAGAATGCAGAAGCTGTGGCTTTAGTGGGGAAGGAATTGGTTTTCCCTTTTCCTCCCTCTCCCGCTCGTAACCTACCTCACAAGGTTTTTGCATTATATTATGAGCTTTCTGTGTTTTGCTGTATTTAACAGAAAATAGCAGAACTGAACAGGTTCACCATGGAAAACAAGGAGGAAGGCTCGGGCTCGGATGATGAACCAGATGCTCTGTGTGGAGCAGAGAACGTGAAGCCCAGCCAGAGCGCGCAGCAGCCGCTGGTGGTGGAGCAGGTTCGAGTGGTGGACATGGATGGAAACCTGAAAGTACTTTATCCTTCAAAAACCGACCTGGCTGCAGCGCCCTCCCTGCTCACAGTGATTCGCTGACTGCTATCAAAGATCAGCCAATTGCTCTGCCCCCTTTTTCTTCTTTCCATATCCAAGAACGCAGTGACGTGTGTGAAAGAGGAGCTGCAGTGCGCCCTGCCTGCCTGTGTAGGACATCGAAAGCTTGAGCCAGTCCTGGCAAGGAGGATTGCATTCTCTCTCAGCCTTAGGAGAAAGGCAGCAGCACCGTGTGGCTGGAGGCAACAGCATCTGCCAGTGCAAACATAAAGCAGTGAAGGTTCAAAGTCAGAATCCACCGGCTTGGAAGTGAATCGTGATGGTGTTTTAGTTTATAAAACAAATGCAGTCGTATTGCTCTGCAAGGTTACTCCTCCTTCCTGGTGCTTCAGCTGGATCATCATCTTAGAAGCTGAACTGGGAAATCCAGTAGGTGACAGCACTGGTGCTGCTATGTGCTGTGTGCCAGTGCTGAAGGCAGGGTGCAGAAGTGCTCACAGCATCTCATTTTGCACAGTTTTATGTCTGGGGTAACCATAAAACTGAAAATTCGGTGTATTTTAAGCATTTTAAACCTTAATGCTGCCAGAATCTGAGCAGTGAGTTTTGCAGTAATGTTTTTTTTTCTTGCTGAGTTCCCGTGTTTAGCACAGCTTTATTTTTAAATGGAGGCAGTAGAACTGACTGCAGGGGTTTGCATTTCCCAGTGCATTTTAGAGCCACATCCCGTCCTTGTGGAAGCCCCAGCTGTGAATTTATTGTGTACCATTGAGTTAACTGCTGGTCAAGCACTGGATTTGTTCTTACTTGTGAAATGGAGCCCCAGTCACAGGGCTGCTGCTGTGTCAGCACTGCCCCCCAGCTTCCCAGAATGTGAACCTTCTGTCTGAGGTGACCCCAGTCCTCCACTCCACTTTGGTGAGTGCTGGGGATGCCGTCCAAAATGCAGACGGTTGGAGTGGTTCAGCTTTTTGCAGTCTGGGTGATGCAGCCTGGCTGTTGTCTGAATGCAAACCTCTCCATCCATAAGCTGGGGTGATCCATGGACTGAGTCACAGGGTGCTGTGTGATCCCTGTAGATCCCACATCAAATACAGCCACGTGCCTGCGTACTGAATGCAAAAATAAAATGGTTCTTGCAGTTGTATGTCACTGTCACTTCTTCTGGCATTGCTGGATTTCCCAGTCGTGTAACTGTGCCAACTTGGCCAAGTGGAAACTTAACTTTTTCTGGATCCTTGTGTGTGAGCAGACCCGATTCCCTGTGAAATAGAGTCATTCTGCAGAGCAGCAACAAGAAAACAACTGAATTACTGCAGAACTTTATTAGAGTGAGTTTAATTTGCTACTGAGTCACCCCCTGAAAACAAAGGAATGGGAGGTGGGGAGGGGTGATGTGGTGGGAGCCTGCTACTGCTACCTGCTACTGCTCAGGCCGTTGTGCAGGAGATGCTGCCCTTCACCTCCTTCCCTTTGAAATGCCTGGCGGTGAGGTGAACGTGTCGATGTTGGTGAGGGATGGAACCTTGATGCCTTTTTGTTTCAGCATCTGATGGAACTCAGTGCGCTCGTTAATTATTTTCTGAAAGGCAGAGATGTGCAGAGGGATGGAAAAGCATCAGATGGACAGCAGGACAGGACAGTGCTTTCTCAGCAGTTCCCATTGTAGTACCTGCATTGCCTCCAGCACCTCCTCATCAGTGAGTTCTGCCTGGGGAGCTTTGATGCCTGCTGCACTGAATGTAGCCTGAATTATTTTGCTTCGAAATCTTTCAAACTTTTGATGAAAGAGGAAAGAGGTGGATGTGTTAAGTTAAGCCTTTGTGTGTGATTCTTTGGCAGTCATACGGGCTTGACAAGGTTGGAACATCTCTCAGCAGAGAGGTGGAAGCCTGAAGTGAAGGAGCCTACATTACCTTGCTGGTGACGCGCTCAAGTGCCACTCTGGTTTGTAGCTCTGCCTGCTGCAGCATTTCAGCTTGGCTCTGCATCTTCTCCTGGGCACGTTGCTGCTTCTGGATGTGGTACCGGTTGGTCAGAGCCTCCGCCTGCAGCTGCCACGTTGTGCCCTGCAAACCACTGATCAGCTCCATCTGCTCACCCAGTTTGGATTCTTGCTCTGTAACAACCTGAGGAGATGCATAAAACGAGCCATTACAGTGAGGAAGAGAGTGAGCAGACTTCCCAGTATCTGATTCAAATGGTTCTTGTATTTCTTGAGCAGTCTACAGACTTGAATTTGTCTGTTCTGGTAGCCGTTGTTACTTAAGGTTTTCTCCAGCACTGCATTGAGTACCCGAGTGGTTAAAAGCAGCAAGCTTGCTATTATAAAAAAAAAAAAGCAATTGAGTGGTAAAATAAACTCAAGAAGTCAGGTTTTCATACTAACTTCACTGATACATTTCTAGTGGGGTAAATTTGCTCCCCCAGGCCTAAAAGAAGCTCAATAAAGTGGCTGATGGGAGAGTTTTCCATAAAGGCACGTGGGCTTGAACCAAATTCACCTGCCGAAGGCTGCAGTTCTCCTTCTCCATTGCTGCCATCATTTCTTCATGTTTCCGTTCTTCTCTCAGACTGCCAAACTTAAGGGAAAATATTTTACACATCAGTTTGGCAGTTCAGAGATGGACCCCCTGTCTCATTAGCAAGAGAATTGATTCAGGAGGGCTGAATTCCCCGCCTCCAGCTCTCTGCAGTGACGGCAGCTCACGGCAGTACCTTGGCAGACATGGCTTGCAGCTGATTCTCTCGCCCTCTGATCTCCTTTTGGAGCCTTTCATTTTCAGATTCGGTTCTCCGGAGCTGGGATTCTCGGATCTCCAGTTGTCTTTGCAAGGAGCACATGGCACCTGTAAGGTTGGAGTGCTCATGTAAGCAAACTGAACCCGTGCAAAAGACCTCATGAGCTTTTTTCAGGTAAGGAGAAGCAGAGCTGTGTGGGCTGTGAGTTAATGTACAGCACGATGACACTGGTTAATAATGCATTTCACAGTGCTGTGCTGTGTATTAAGTAAATGCACGGTGAGGTAGATGCTGTTCTGAGGACTAATAGAGCCAGTAACTCAAGCATGGGGTTGCCAAAGTGGTGGAACACCATGGAGTGCTCCAGAGTAAGAGCCAGGCCTTGCTGCAAGATTTTGTCATGCCCTTCTAAGGCAAGAGGGAAAGTGGTTTCAAAACACGTGGTGTTTCTGACTCACTCTGTAAGGAGAGGTTTTTGCCCTTGTGTGGACGTAACCCAGCCTCATTTTCTAGGTAAAATAAACAGTCTCAAGAAGATGAAGTTGCTCTCTGGTACAGTTGTCTGTTGTGGGGAAGCCTTCTCCCCTGGTACCTGTGGCCATGTTGTAGTCATCTTCTGCTTTTTGTAGTTCTGCACGGAGCTCTTCGTGGGCTTTCTGCAATGCAGTGAGCTGAGCCATCAGGGCCTGCTGCTCTGCTTCTGCCTGCTCTGGAATGGCTCCTGGGGTGCTCGTTTCATTGAGAACTTCAGTGGCATCTTCAGTTGAGATCCCTTGTTTTGTTTCTGTGTGCTATAAAGACAGAGATAAGGACTTAAGCTTTACTAAAGCCTTATGTGGAGAGTGTTCAGAATTGGGGTCTGCATTTACTGTAAATGACAGCTTGGCACTGCACAGCTTCAGTGTATGGAACTAAAATTGTTACCTCCTCTGTGTCAGCTCTGTCCTTGAGCAACTCCAGCTGTTTCTTCAGACTTTCCACTTCCCTCAGGAGATTAGCAATCACTACGTCCTTCTGTGCACACTCTGCCCGGTACTTTGCGAGACGATCGATCTCAGCTACCAGTGTTGTGAGACATTCTTCCTAGGGAATAAAGAAGTACCGTCACGCACTGAAACGTGAACGTGGTAGAGGGGATGAAAGGGAGGGATGAGGAACCACGGAGCAGATGAACTACGGTGTGTCAGTGTCTGTCCCTTATGCACGCAGTGCGTGCTATTGGGCCGCTTCCGCAGTCCCTGCTCCAACGCGCTCCTTGGCACTGATAGCTTCTGTGTGCCCCAAACGGAGCGGCACTGTTTGGATCGGCCAGCAGATGGTATCACGAGCAACGACGGCGGCGCTCTGCTGAGGCGTTCTGCCGGCTGAGGCAGGCGGTACGGCCGGCTTTCCTCACCTTTTCATTAATGGTACGGATGTACCACGGGACGTTATCTGAATGCCTTTCGCACGGATCCCCCGCGGGTTGCTGCTGCCCCGGCGGCCCTTCCTTCCCGTCCTGCTCCCCGGCAGGCCGGTCGCCGGACCGGAGATCTTCTGCTGGGCAGAGAAGCAGGCAGTGATGCGGTTCGCGGTCAGCCCCCTCCCCCCGCCTCCAGCCCTCCCGCCTCACCCGGCGGACCCGGCGACGTCGCCCTGTCGCAGGTACCGGGACAGCGGGCGCGCAGCGGGGCGGGGATGCACAGCTCATCGTGCCGCGGTTCGGGCGCTAAGCCCAGCGGGCCGGCCGGCTCCGAGCCCAGCGGCAAACGGGAGAACGACCGCGGCCCCTGAGCCTCGCACGGCGCCCGGGGATGGCGGCAGGGCCCGGGCTGCCCGCGGGAGCCCATCGGGGCCGCGCCTAGCGGCGGCGTTGAATTGCTAAGCAACGGCGGGACGCTTCCGGAAGCTGCGGCGATCACTTCCGGGATCGGGAGGTCACTTCCGGGAGGCGCCGCCACGGCCCGCAAGGGGAAGGCGCCGCGCGATGAGGAGGCCGCGTTTGTGTAACGAGACAAAACACCGCCCTGATTTCTGCCTTCTCCGCTTGAGTGCTGTGTGTGCAGCTCCCAGCCGCAGGGCCGAGCCTGAGCACATGAACCTGAGTGCGCGCTACAGGAAAACAGAGTGCCTTCAGCTCCAGGCGGGCCTGCTCCTAAGCAGGTTCTGAGCCTTTTATTCTCGTTGCAGACGCAGAGCTTTGACTGCTGTCTGCTCCTCGTATGCTGGTGTTCAAGACCTTGGAAATCTTTCTTTAAACGGTATTAAAATAACAGTTTTGGCTGTGAGGGGCTCCTGTTCTGGGCAGCGCTGTTGTCTCGGGAGCTTTGCTGATGAAGCACAACAACTCCAGGCCCTTTGAGGTGTAAGATTTCTCAGTAATGTTACGTGCACGTTTTTCTGTACAGCATAAGCAAGACTTGAGTTACCAGGTGTTGTAATTCAGACGTGCTTTTATTGTGTTACAAAAAAAAAAAAAAAAAAAAGAAAAAAAAAAAGAAACCACAGCTATAAAAATAACACATTTTCCAAAGATAACGTTCCAAAAAGTACTACTGGTAACATGGTTGGACTGTGTCAGTTAATACTGTTGAAAACATGTTTCAAAACCTTTAGAGCACCTCTGGATGTATCTGCTCACCAGAAGGAGGTGGAGCTGGGAATGCGTTTGCTGGCAGCGTGGCTTTCTGCTGAGCTGCTTGTCAGCCTGAACCAACAGATAAATCAGGCCTGGAAAAAATGGCCATAAGCAGCAAACCAAGGTGGAAGGACCTCACGTGAGGCCACCTCCTCTCCAAGATGGGATCAAACTCATCCCCACCTCACTGTTATCCGCATCCAATCCTCACCTGTGGTGCAGGGAGGAATCGCACAGAGCTCTGACTCCGTGGGAGCCTTCACACGTTTCCCCCTCTGCATTCGTGTGACATAATTCACAGGAGGGAAAAAACATCTGGATTTTGAATAGGTAAGCCTTGAAACACGACTTTCTGCACGTCTGCATGCTAGAACATAAAAGTAATTGCTTGACGCTATTGTCTCAGCAGTATCAATTTTTATAGCTTACATGAAAATAAATCTTTTTTTCTTCTTGCAGCACAATGAGTATACTGTATGTACATCGCATTGCTGATAAACACAAACATTTAAGTACGTGAACACATCTGGAACTGACGAAGAGATCAGCTTCTGCTCTACAAGGAACTGAAAGGGACACATCTTCTGGCAGTCTATCGGGAAAGCAGAGTTGCTTTGTGTCAGTCAATGGCAGATACTCCTACAGGAATGGAGCAGAGAAGGGCTAAATCGTTTTTTGGTTTTCACCACCACTGAGAACACAGAACAGAGGTAAGAAGGTAGGTCTCACTAACAGAAAATGTGCTATCTGTATGCTGCATCTGTTTGATGCCAGGCTCGTCCAGCACAATACGAAACAGAAGGATGAACCAGCAGGTGACTCCTCTGCCGCGTGCAGTCAGCATCTGCGCTGCATTCCAGGAGCTCTCACCGCCCCGTCCTTCCATCGACCCTCTGATAAACCGCTGGGATTTCCTCTCTGGGAAGTTCCTGGCAGACGGATGGGGGCCGTATTTCCTCACGCAGCCGACAGTCCAGCAAAATGATGCTTCTCCAGCTGCTCAAGGCTGAAATATTCTCCCATGTTTCACGCAGGGTTTGGTTTCCCCAGCCCGTCCCTTGGACTCCCTTTGTGTCCGGTTTCCTACCGTCGTGCCCTGGAGAACCTCAGTTGATCTCTCCCTCCGTGAACTCTTCTTTGATGGACTGTTTGCGGGACTTGCAGTCTGGGAGGTCAAAGCCAAAGTCTGCCCACTCGTCCGCCGCGCCGCGGTTGGGGATGGTGATGGTGTGGCGCACGCGGAAGTGCACGGCCTCCATCACGCGCTGCCGCTGCAGCTCCCCCGAGCTGCCAATGGAGATGGTGGAGGCGTTGCTGCTGGAGCGGATGAGCTGCTGGGCCCCGTAGTCGTGGCTCTGCTTGAGTTCTTGAAGGCCCCTCCAGATGATCATCCGGTACTGCTCTGGGATCTTCAGTGCTCCGAGATCCTGGAAGAACAGCGCTGCTGAGGGGCACCCCGTGAGGGGAACACCGGGACGGAGCCTGGCCCCCAGCTCATGGCTCAGAGGGACGCGGGCGCAGGAGCGAGTGGCACGTCCTGGCCTCGGTCCACACAACACACAACAACCCACGGGTGCTTCCACGAGGGGCAGCTGCTCAGTTACAGACCGGCTACTCGTGGTCGCACTTGACCAGTCATTCAAACACCATTTTGAAAGTCAGCCAAAAACGCATCTTGTTATGTGGGGACTGGGGGACAGGGACGTAAGCTCACTGTATCACATCAAACTGCTGAGAATGGGAGAGCTCCCGCTGGACGAGGGTTGAGGAGCAGCTGTGCTCACAGGGCGAGGAGCTCAGCCCGGCTGCTTTGCACAGGGCAGGAGCAGCGGGGGGCTCCAGGCAGCCCCCAGGGGTGGGCTGGGGTAATGGGCCGCATTCCCTGAGCCCCGCTGGCTGGGGCTTTCGGGGCCCTCCCTGTTGGGGGTGGGCCGTGTGGGCAGTAGCAGCTTTGTGGTTGTAGTGCTAACTGAGAGCTGGATCATCTCAGCAATGGGGGCTGCGCCAGAACAAATACCCTCGTGGTGGAGAGCTGCCAGACAGCCATGTTAATGCCAAACACAGAGACCGTATGAATGTTAACCAGAGAAGATAGCGAGTGTGCAATTAGTAATTACAAATACCAACTCGGACAGACAGCTCAGCAACCTGATACAAAGTTCTGGCCATACCAAACATTTCTTTTGACAGCTTGCAGGTAATAATGCAGTTAGTTCAGAAAATGGTCCAAAATCAGGCTAAGGTTGTGCAACTGGCCCCAGCTACCAATGAAAAATCATTGTGTCTTCAGCAGCTGCATTGCCTATCTTACTGTAGCTGCCAGGTAGGAGATTACTACAAACTACCTGGGGGGAAAACAACAGAATCAGGGCAGCAGCTTTTTTTCTGTCCAGAATACTGACTCTAGAACTTACAAGGCTAACTATGGCTCCAAGGGCTTAAGCTTTTTCTACTCCCTATCCTGATGGATGAGGGGAGTCCCTGCTTGGTGCTGCCCTCAGTTTTGCAGCCTCAGTTTTGTCAGCAAGAGGTTATGCTTTAACTGAGAACTGCAGTTGGCAGCTCCTCTTCCCCTGGCAGCAGAGAGCTGACACAGAGCATGAGGGCAGGAATTCTGAACCTACTGTACGCCTGTTTTCATTCCAGCTCTTCCCTAACTGGTGCTGTTTCATTTGCTGAGCACCTTGTCTGGTTTCCTTTTTGTGTTAAACACCTACTTGAGTTCTGGTTTGGGGACATCCGAAAAGAGCTCAACAATGTGCCAAGTTATTAATTTGTTTCTCTCTGTTAGTTCATCAGATCTCATTAGATCTCATTTCTGACAGTCTGGAGGAACCAATGAAGAGGCTATTGTGGTTGCTACCAGAAACTGAACCACTGTTAAATGTGAAGGGCTAGAAACGATGCATAAATGGAAGACATAAATCATGGGGAGTATATATTCTGTAACAGGTTGGTGCACAGTTTTTTTCCTTTCTTTTAAAACAGTTTTGTCCTTGCTTTTAAGATCAACAGCTGATAGAAACAAGTGGTAAGAACAGATCTTCCCAAAGCATTTACCTCTATGGATAGGTTCTGCAGGTGGTAAATATTCTGTAACCCTTGTGAGGTGAAATAGTCGATGCAGTTTGGACACCCCAATCCTGTTAAAAAACTGCAGAAAAAGTTTGGAAAATAAAGTGGCATTAACTTCTCATGAATATAAGCTGTGCTGTCAACCAACACTGTGTTTCAGCTCACTGAAAAGGCAGAAGGGAGACAGCAGTGAGCTCCTGCTGCCTCCAGACTTGGCAACACTTCCAAACACTTGTGATGTAGATGGGATGTGGGCAAACGAGCAGAGGAGGGAACTTGCTCTGGCTGTTGTCACGCATCTTAAGTGTGACCTTAACTTCCATTGTCAGAATGAAGAATGGAACTATCTTCATTCTGTCTTGTTTGGTTTTTTTTTTTCCTTTTCAGACTTTCAGAGGTTTCTGCTGAATTACCTACACTGTTAACTGGAGGGAGCCTGAGCTACCTGAGGAGGAAAAGGGCCCATGCCTTAGTTTGGACAGCAAAGTCAGTCCCTGCAACTTACAGACTAATTGCAAGGCTATTCTGTGAATAGCTCTGGGCTGCTGCTATGCAGCTCTGGTAACTGAATGTACAGGTGCTCTGACCTTGGTGGGATGTCTGTTGAAACGTCTATGTTCTACTTAAAGACAAGCAGTACAAAGCATCTGTGGACACGCTGGCATATTCCTCGTGGAAATGAACCATGTGGACCAACTTCCAGACATCATTACTAAGGAAGGGAAGGGTGGAAGTTCACAAAGCTGTGTGCAGTTTGGCATGCAGGAGAAGATTCTTGTTTGGGAGGACTTAATTTTGTAATTAAGCAAGGACAGATTACCAGGAGGTCTATGAGAGCAAGAGGTGTTTCTAACTGGTAGGTAGCTGGGCTTTGATTTTTAAGATGAGAATGGTCTACATGATGTCATGAGCAGTGATTTCTCAGCTGGGACCAGTGGCCAGTTGACCAGTTGCTAGACAGATCTGAAGGTTAGAGTAAGGGACAACAGCAAGAAACATCAGAGGACAACACAAAAAGGGCATCTGTTGCCCTCCCTACCTGACTAGGCTGGGATCGGGGTTGTAGGGCGGAGGAGGGGTGCAGTGTGATCCTGAGACCATGGACTGGGACGAGTGGCCCCCGTTCATTTCCCCATTGGGTTGCATGGGGTGGCTGTTCAGCATTCCAGGTCCTAGGCAGCAGCCATGCCAACACGACAGGTAGATCAGTCAGACAGAACCAAGACACAACAACCCCTGTCCCTCACTGGGGGCCCTGCTGGGCAAGGAGGGCCCCCACCAGCTGGGACTACGGTTCTGCACTCTGCTGCAGTGGGAGCCTTACCCATTGGCCCCAGGCTTGATGCTGAGCCAGAGCTGTGCTGTGCTGGCTGCCCAACCAGCTGGTTGACAGAGGGCAGCTTGTTGATTCCTCCTCCGTGGACTTTATTCATAGGTGAGAGGACAGGGCCGTAGGAGGAAGGTGTCTGCAGCTGATTTCTGCTCAGGAAAGAGAAGGCAAGCGATGAGCATCCAGCAGGAAGATGTGGAGCCAGCTGGCAACCCCAGACCTCCTGTCTGCCTGCTCAGTATCTGTGTGCTGAGGTTTCAGGTAGCACTGAGGAAGGCCGGATTGCACTGAGAGCAGCCGAAGACAAATTGCACTGGTGCAGAATTGTCTGGGCTGCATTTATGTCAGGCGACAGCTACATGTGTCTGTGAAAAGTCGCTGCAGATGGAGAACTCACTGCAGTGCGGGCCCCCTAGGAAGGTTCATATCCAGTGCTGTAGTTTATGCTTGCTGTAAAAAATAGCAGTTGCAGCAGTGCTGATCAGTTTGCTGAGCTGCAGTGGGCACTCAGGGACACTGGGATGGCACTTACTGCCTCTGCAGGAGCTGCTGCTGTTGCTGCCGGTAGGAGTCAACCAGCTGCTGTGGGACCAGCTCCACCAGCTCCAGGCTCTCCTTTATCTTCATCAGGATCTCGAAGTTCTCCCTGCCTCGAACCTGGAGGATGGAACAAGCCCAGCTCTCACCATGGCCCTTTTTTTCTACCCGCAGCCACACAAACCCATCCTGAGAGCACATCCCCAAGAGTTTCCCTTGCCACTGCTGAGCAGCGTGGCTCACTGACACTTACAGGCACATAATACATCTCCTCCTCCCCGTGTCTCCGTTTCTTAACGCCTGGCCCCAGTGCTGGGATGGCCTGAGGGCTCTGTTTGAATGCTGGAAAGGAGAGAAGGGGAAAAATGTTAGCAGAAGATGAAAGTCAAATCAGGCAGCGGGAGCAGCTGTGTCCTCTGGGCACGCAGGAGCAGCGTGCTTTGCAAGACTTAACTGAAAAGAGGGAAATAGCTACCTCTAGGAGAATTAGCTTGACAAATCCCAAATGTGTGCTGTCACTTAGGAATTATGGCTCTAGGAATTCTGTGTGTGTGTTTTTTAAGAAAATTTCATTTTTTCTCTCATTTCCCTTCTGCTGTGCCCTGCTGTCCTTGGGAGAACAGGACACATCTGGTAACACCTTGGCTTCCTGAAGTATTTTAGCTCACATCATGCACAATGCTTGCTGCTTAACTGTATTATGTCCTTGATGATGTTCCTTCAAAAACAATAATAATGAGTACATCTGGACAGAAAGGCCCTATGCTAGTATCACTGCACTCTGGGGCAAAAAGAGAGGAGATCCTACTTCTGAGATTCAGAGGAGAAAGGTCAAAGCATCATGCCCTGGTGTGGGTTTAAGCCTCAACTTCTGGAGCACAGTGATTTTGGTTGCAATGGGAAAGGTGCTGAGGCAGAAGGGTTTCGAGGAACAATGCAGGCTAGGAGCTGAAGACTGTGACAAAGCAGTGCTCTGAGGCACCCTCCCTTTCCCGGAGAGCAGACTCACTGCGTTTGTTGGCGTTGCCATTTTTAGCTGCGTTCTCATTCAGGGCTTGTTGCTCTCGGTAATGGTCTTCATCAGCTTTCCGGTCCCTGCCAGGACAGGCACAGATCCGTCCCTCAAATGATCGCCTTCCTAGGACTTGGCCGCTGGGAGGAGAGAGGAATTGGTGAATTTGTTTCTGCCAGGGATGTTCACCTGGGCTCAGCCCAGCATGTTATGGCCTGGCTCAGATCCCCGGGTGTGGGGAGCTCCTCTGCGAACAGCCTGAGCAGGAGCAGTCTCCTGTGGGAGGAGGAGCTGCTGGGGCTGAGGAAGGCTTCAGCTGTGTGGGAAGAAGCCAGCACTGCAGTGGGTCTGCTGTACCTCCCCTGCCCTCTTCCTAGCCAGCAGGAAGCAGCCTTTACACAAAGGCAAGAATGGTGCTCCAGCAGCCACTTACTCTCTCGTCTCCAGCGTGATGATAATGAGGATGGGTCTCCTGTTCATTCCTCCCACACAGCTGCTGTTGCACATGAAGTTGTACAGGATAGTGGTGAACTCGGTCCCCACCTGCCCAGGAGAGGGGAGCAGACAGTGAGCAAAGAGTGAGGGCATTCCTTTGGGCAGGGCTATGCCTTGAGTGCCTTTGCAGGTCAAGCAGAAGGAGCACTGAGAAGGGAAAGAGTGGTGACATGTGGCCCTGCAGTGATGGGGACAGTCCTAGGTGGGGGAATGGGACGCTGCAAGGCTGTGGGATCTCTGAGGGGGAGGCTCAGGCCTTCCGTTCCCCACCACCCAGGAATGGGGTGCTCAGAGCAGGCACACAAGGGCTCAGATGTGCCACCCGACTCCAGCCAGGACTCAAATCTTCCTCCAACAAAGCAGATGTCACCAGCGGGTTCACTCCTCCACACTGGGACAAGAGCTGGTTCTGCTCCCCACCACCCCCAATGCAGCTGGGTACCTGTGGGGGCTCGTAGGGCACCATCACACTCTGCCGTCCTGTCACAGGGTCGTCCACGTACTGGGAGAGGTTGTTGCCTTCCACCCTGATGAGGTGGCTGGCTGGGGCTGACTGGCCTGTAAGTCAAGTGCTTGTGGTTAGGACTTGGAGCTTCATCCTGCACAGGGCAGCAGCTCCTGTCCCACCAGCTCTTCCCAGCCACGTTTTGCAGCTGGGGCTGTGCCCTGTAGGGGTGACAACAGCACTCACCATCGTTAAAGTCACGCCCCAGCTCATGGTTGGGGCAGCGTTTCACCACTTCTGTCACGTGCTCGGCCTTCTTGTACACAGGCATGGCCCGGATGATGGTGCCCGGTGGCGGTGGGCTGGTCACCTTGATCTGGATGGGACATGTCTTGGCAATCTGACAGTAGAGCTTCTTCAGCAGTGGGGAGTACTGGAATAGAAGAGAGACCAGCGTTAGCACAGCTCGCGAGGAGCAAATGGAAAACGTGGACATGCAGCTCAGCATGCAGCGAGGGCAGCAAGGAGCCCTGGGTGCCCGCTGCCCTGTGCCTGAGGGATGCTGTGTGCACGTGGAGGGCTGAGCACTGTGGCTCTCACACCACGCTCAGGCAGGCGCCTGCTTTCCCGCAGCTCCTCTGATCCACCCACCTTCTGCCTCCTGAATGCTCCCAGTGAGATGCCAACATGGCAGCAAAGCAGCATATTAAAATAATGACTCGTTATAAAACCAATTGCTGCCTATTGTACTGTAACCGCTCCGGGGGTGCTGTGCCAGCGCAGGATTCCCCGTGTGCTGGCTGTGCTGATGCACATGCTTTGTGAAGCTGAACAAGAGAGAGCTGCCCTGTAAACTGCTGTTGCACGTGCACGTAGGGGACACTGTGTGCTGTTCTGCAGTAACTTCTTACCCCAAGGCTCAGCGCTTGTTTCTCCCTAGCAGTGCTGAAATGTGACCAAGTTCACCTGCACAACAATGTCCACTTTCCACACAAGCCAGATCACACCAACTACTGGATGCAGCATGGGACCTTCTAGGGAGGGTTTCCCAGCTGGCACGGAGGGAGAAGGAATCCGTGCTTCATGCTGTGTAACAGAATTACAGCTAATTAGGCAAGATGTCAGACATTAATTATGTCTACTAAGTGTGGTGCAGAATGGGGTTTATCCTGACCATGACTCGATTCTTCACAGACACTTGCAGTCCTAGCAGAAGGTCACAAAGGAGATGGATCAGGGAGGCTGGGGACAGCACTCTGACAGGACAGGCACTGTGTGATGCTGGGCAGCAGCTGGAAATCACACTCAGAGCGGAATGCTGACAGAAGATGCTGTGACCACTGAAATGCTCCTTGTGCAGACACAACAGGGTCTGCTTGGTCATGAGCAAGAGGCAAACTTCACTTGCAGAAACAACTGTCTCCACTCAGCACAGCTGTGTTTGGCCCCAGTGTGCACCCAGCACTGACCCAGCCAGGAACGAGTTCCGTGCTCCTCCCAACCCCCTCCCAGCTCAGGTGCACTGAGTTGTGATGCTGAGCCCATACAGCTTGGGGTAGAATCCTGCTGCTCCTATGGTGCAGCTGAGGGTGGAGCAAGAGGGAGAACAGGGGAGTGCTGTGCTTGCAAGGTAAAACATCCCTAAGGTAGCGGAGTCCCTTCTTGTGCTGGAGGAAGATGAACACAGTGCTGGGCTCTAGGCCCTAAGGGTAGCAGCACATGGAGATGGACTGACATGTGAGTTTTCTTGGGTCTGCAGGTGCTTGCCCTGCGCTTCTCTGAGTAGTTTGGGACTGGGAAGTTGCCCCAGGCAGCTGGGCAGGAGGGCCTGTCCCTCACCTTCTACTAACTGCTGTCCAGGGCACATGTGTGAGGAGATGCAGTTCCCTTCCACCTTGCCATGCTGTTTTCTAACAAAGAATTTGTTTGCTATACACGAGCCCACCCCTGTGCACAGAGCTCAGCTAGTCCCTGCATGCAGGGCATGCTTCTGTTCAAAGCATTTTATCTCATTCCCACAACACGTGCTTTATGCCAAAAAAATACCACCGTGCTGAATGTTTGTGAGGATGTTAATGCTTGTCCTAAGCCACCAAAATACAGGTGTGCAATGGCCACTGAGTCTTTGCTCCTTATACCACGCAGTGAGAAAGCATCTCTGCTCTCTCACGGGCAGAGGGCTTACTTCTAAAGCTGAGGGCTCTGCAGCAAGCAAATAACCTGAGTGCAAGGCTGCTGGTAGGACGCTGGGGCATGTCATGGTGTCACCTTTTAGCTGGTCCTTTACATACGGTAGGGGTGCAATGCCTTTCTAGCAATGGAAAGAGAGAGCAGCACTGGAGCAAGGCTTGAGCCCATACAACCTGCTTGCATGGGTGCAATGGGGACTTAATGCTCTTGTTTTGGGGAGACAATGTGGCAAAACAAGGGTTATGTGGAGGGGGCTCTTCCTTGCCAGGTGTTAAAACACTGACAACTCCTGTCAAAGGATCCTTTCATGTAGACATTCCCGGGCAGCCCTCAACACGCCTGGGAAATAAAACTGCTCTGGAAGAGTAGAGGTGCATTACGGCAAGCTCTTTGGTAACAAATTCTCTCATTATACCATGTTATGACATGGATAAATCTCTGTTAAATAGCACAGCGATTGCCCCGCAGGGAGAAACGCTGCTGCTCAACACAGGCATGCCTCTGCTGATAACCTTATCATGTCTTAACAGCTCCAGCATTGCCTTCAAAGATCCTTCAACAATAACAAACTATTCTTTTAAGGAACTCCACACTGATAACTCTGGGCAAGAAGGATCAGGGTTGCATCCTGTGAGACTGTGCTCATGGTGCTGGATCAGCAGCGCCTGGCTCCCTGCGTGCCCTGCTGCAGTCACTGCCAGAGCAAAGCTGTCCTGGTCTTGGAAACCCTGCTTGTTCATGCTCACTTTGGGAGTGAGCATTATATTTCAGTGCATATTCAGAATCCACGGAGACTCTTATGTGTCTAGCCGTGTTCTCAGCCAAGAAAAGCAGTGTACACATAAGGGACAGTAAAATGCATGCTTTGAGAATCCCAGTAGAGTGCCATGCAGGTGCTCTGCTCCTCCTGGTCATCTACAGCTGGGCAAAATTGTGCTTTCAGTTATTGATGCTTCCTGAGGTGCAGCTGAAGTGCACACACCTGGCTTACAGAGTGCACCAAGGCACTGTGCCTTCCTCAAGTGCAAAACAGGAGATTTGCCAAGTGAAAAATCAGAACCCCAAGGAGTCTCAAGGAGTGGTGCAGTCACCTCACTGCTTCACACTCATCTTTTAGCCACGGCTGTGTCGCTGCCATACGGTTTGAGGGCAGGCCTCAGGCTGTCCATCCATACCATTCCTGTTTGTGTGCAGTTTTTACAAGCTGGTGGCAGCTGTGGCTCCTGCAGGTTTGGGAGCGTGCTGCAGGAGAGCTAGGCTGCCAGCCAGTGGACTGTCCCTGGTATATGGGGAGCAAGCATGGACGGGGCTGAGAGGGGGAGCCGAGAGGGGCTGATGCCCCAGCAGCACCCCTGGGTGCCTGAACACATTGCCCAGCATCTCTGGTGCTGGTGTGGCAGCGCTGAAAGATCTCAATCCTAGTGTTTCTTTCACAGCTACACAAAGGTCTGAATTTGTTCTATCTCTAGGCATCTCCTTCCCTTACCTCCAATCCCTGTTCTGGGCTTTAGGCTGTTAGTAAAGCCCTTCGTATTCTTCAAGTCATGTCTGATTGTAGAAGGAAGTCAGACAGCCTGTTACTGTGTTTGCAGAGCACAACAGGTTCACGTCGCTGTGGCTTGTGGATGATTGTACGGCATAAACAGCAGCAGTACAACTGAGCAACCACCCTAAGCTTACATAAACTTGCAGAGCACATATTCTTGTTCTCTTGTTTTTTCTCTCTTACAGGCATGTGGCTCTCAATGTAAGCACACCTCTATTTGCTGCAGGGAAAATACAATGACACCTCTTTTGCTGCTGCTGCTTCTCTGCTCCTGTAATGTCTTGTAGCACAAGTCCAGAGCAGTAAGACTGAAAGAAAAAGCCAAATTCTCCTTTCTAAGTGTTATCTTACTACTTCAGCCACTGCGACCAAGGAAATGTTTTGTGCATTACAAGGTTCAAGTGACCTAATACTCCACAGAAATTCATGGAGACTCATGTAGCTGCAGATGTGACACAGTGAAACTGAAGTTAAGCTTAAGAATGCTGCTGTTCACCCTGTGCACACATCCAAGCTGCTCTGGAAGAAATTCCTGCCCCAATCAGCCCTGCAGCTATTGTGCAGGAAGTGAGACACAGGAGAGGTGGGCTTTCCTCACATATGCTAAGATCTTTGCTCAAAAAACAACCTGAATCTTCAGCACAGAGACCTGCCAGCAAAGTCCATCTGTCCCTGCTCCACTCTGGGCAGCAGAACCGCTAGAAGGATGTGTCCCAACAGATTTGGAGCTGATAAAATCTTATTTATCTTCAACTGTTGACACCGAAGCGTCTAGACTTGCCTGCTTCAGGAGGGCTGCAGCCAAGTCCTTCTTTCTCTCTTGAAGGAAATGATTTGCTCAACAATTACTTTTTCCACAAATCCTCCCCCCTTCTCCCAACCAGCCTCCTCCTCCTCCTCTTCTACATTCCACTCTCCTCATTAGCTTTACTCAAGACGTGTCCAGGACTGCAGTCAATGGATCCCAATAAAGCCACTAGCCTGGCAAGGGAGAGAGAAGAAAAGTGCTGCCTCCGGCTGCTAATTTCCTTGCACTCCCCAGCAAGCAGCTGCGGAGCTGCATCCTGGGACAGGTTTGGACAGATCGCAGTGGAGAGGTGATAATAATGTGTCTGTCATCTTACCCAGACATGTAGCATCTTGCAAACCGCAAATACCGTTAACCGGCTCGGACGAATCTGTTACGACAGATCCTGGAAGACATGCAGACTACAGAACTTAGTTTTTCTTTCTAATTTTTTTTAATAACCATTTTTTAATCACCGGCCTATACGACTTCTCACTGAGTTAGAAATTCCTCCTAACGTTTTCTTTGCTGCTCGCTTACTACAAGCTGAGGTTGTGCATCACTTGTGCTGAACAGGAAGGCATCCACCTGTGCCTGGTGCACGTGGGCTTGGCACAGCACGATGGAATGGCTGCAAGAGATGCACCAGCATCCAGGTCCTCACCCTGCAATGACCAGGACCTGCCTGAGACACGGGCTTTTCTCCAGAAGCCTGGTGGAGCCCCAGCAAGAGTCTCTGGCCACCACAGCACAGGGACTTAGCAGACATCCTCAGTCCCATACTCACAAATGCTGGACCACCAGTGATGTCTTAGGGCTGCCACGTGGGTATGGTGCAGAGAGGCACCTTGAGGTGTCCTCTAGCCTGGCACCACTTCCCCACAGCAGTTTGGCTTGCTGGCATGTCCCATCTCACCTTCCTGCTGGTGAGGCAGTTGCCAGCAAGTCGTTTCCTTGACCTGTGCATACCATACACGTTCAAGATAGCGGAGCTGATAGTGGGTCGTGTTGGAACATCACACACCAGATTCCTTTGCCTTTTTTCTTAATTCCATTGTGTCTGGAGCTGCTGGAGCCTCATCCACGCCCTGCAAAAGCTCATGGAAAGCCTCCAGTAGGCTGGTTTCAAT